CCCAGCCTGCATTTGACTTCCCCTTGCTATTAATAATCAATAGCCATGGCTTGTCTCCTGGGCTACCCCTGAAGTGCTGGCTTTTTCTGCAGGAGTGGATTGTGCCGTACGGCAAAGCCGTCAGCATAGTGCAGAAGAGGAGCTCTGAAGTGCCGGCAGGCAGTGTGACTTGGGGACACTCCCTTGAAGCACTGTCATCTGCTGCACCCTGCTTAGGGGGTACCACACGTGGTGCTATCTCCCTTTCCCATGCAGATTAGAGGAGGGGATCAGTGACAGAAGAGTGAATGGGACCCAGGACTTGCGTTGGCCGTTGCATGAAACTCGGAGGATCTCACTGTCCCTTTCTAGAGGTCACGTGTCTTATTTAGATCACAGTGGGTATCTATCTGCAGCATTTGCACCAGCAGTGAGGAGGGGTGGATAGAGGCTGGCATATTCTCCCCCAGTTTTTTCAGCTGTAAGCACAACAGGCCTACTTGGCGCCCACGTGGGTGCTTACTGTACCAGGCACAAAGCGGCTGTGGGCTCCCCGCGGAGTCTCTGGCTGCTGCTGCAATGCAAAGAGTGATAACCGTGTAGTGGAGGTGGTCAGGGGGGAGGCACAGAGCTGCAGAGCTGGCTGGAGGAAGCTCATCCTGTTGCTGTTGTGCTATTAGTGACAACTGCCTTTTGCGGGCAGCTGATCCCGGTCCCTGCTGTTGTCCGTTTAGTACCTGCATCAACAACAACACTCCTCCCAGCCAGGAGACGGCACATGTGCTAGCACATCTTAAGCCTTGTGGTCATCGGGCTGAAATCCCCGTGGGGACCGCCCAGAGAGTGGTATCTGATGGCTTGATATAGCACAGTAAAAGAAGCATACTGTATTCATGGGAATGAAGGGAAACCAAAATGCTGCATTTGCTCTTCAGGTGTGAAACTTGACACAGTGATGCTTTAAAGATTAAAAGGAACCACAAGTATCTCTATTTCCTGCATGCCCCAGAGCAGGTAGAGGCAACTCAGGGTAATGAGAGTGCTTAGAAATTGCTTTGTCGGAGAAAATGCCTACCCCCACGCACACCATCGCCTCTAGCCCTTCCTCCCCGCATCCTCGATGATAATTGCTCTATTGTTACCCATGAGGTCTCTCTGGATATGTTGGCACTGCAGTCACAGCACTGAGTACAGTGTACTGTAGGTGATTAGCTTGAACTCAACTACCTAGTTACAGTAGCAAGGTAGGTGGGGTGGCCTGGTTAGCTCTCCCTTTTTCTTAGGGGGTTTTATGCAACCTGTGTAGGGTACCATGTCCAGCTCTGGGTGCCAAACACCTGGACTCCTTAGGGGGAGCCCTGGGCTGATACCATGCATCTTCAGAGGATCGAGAAATGAGTAACGCTTCCTGTTTGTTCTTTCCCTGCTGTCACGTGAGCTGGGGGCCAAGCCTAGAGGCACGGTGATGAATGGTGGTGCAAGTGCGAGGGGGTGGAAGGGTGGGACAGCAGCAGGGAAAGCAAAGAAGAGAACATGCGAAGGTGTGAGATAAGGCGGACCCCTGCCCACACCTGCTTTATCTCACATCTCGCTACACCTCCCTTTGAGCCCTATTCCAGGTTCACTTCATTGCTCTTGGGGCCTGAAACCACCCGATCCGTCCAGTGTATAAGGGGAAATAGCGCAAGGTGTCTTTCCAGATCCAGGCTGCCTCTTCCTGGATTGCCGAGCCAGAGCCAAACATAGGCACGATCTCTTCTCTTCTTTGCATGCCCCTTTGAGGATCCTGCTCAATTCAGGGGCAGGGTGTAGAGCAGGGGCGGGCAATTATTGCTGGCAGAAGGCCGCTTACTGAGTGAAAGCCATCGAGGGCTGCATGACAGGCAGCCCAGGGCAGATTAATATTAATTTTCTACATTTTTTAGGGGTCCCGTGGGCCGGACAGAATGGCCTGGCGGGGCACATCCGGCCCCCGGGCCTCATTTTGCCCACCCCGGTGTAGAGGATGTAAAGCCACAATCACACCCTCCACTGCCAACCGGTCCAGTCAGTGCCAAGGAGGGTGCACACTGCATGAGCCATCATCACCATGCGTGCACCAGGGAGTGCAAAGAGGGACCCCCCACCCCACACAACTTTCTCTCTGCAAGACAGTGTGAGCCTGGGAACAAACATTCATAAGCTGGCTGGACACAGTAAGAACCAAGGACTGTGTCCACTTACTTTTTCTTTATGGCATACTATAATCTATCTGATTCCTGAAATTCTTCCTTCGCTCCATGGGTGATGATGATCATGACCCTCTTCCCTTTTGGGAGGTCTTGATCTTCCGCTAAACACACGATTTTTTCTTCTGTTCATTGTTTGTCCGCTGCTCCTGGGGACTTCTCTCGTCTCCCGTGTGATCACTACATCACCGTAACGCGCCGTATGGTGAAGTAGCGTGTTGCTACATCGCCATAGGGTGACATGTAGATGTGCCCACCTACTACTATAATATAACTCCATCGGTCCACCTGTGTTGCTCCTTCCTGTACTTGAGGAAGGGGCAGTTTCTGTTCTAAAGACCTCTTATTATTTGCCCCCCATTTATATTTAAAAGAAATTATATTCGAGAATGAGATCAGTTCTCGTATTAATTATCTTAGATGAGTGAAACTGGAGATGGGCTGACTTGGAGGGGGTCTGATCTGGCGTTCTGATTCAAATCCAACTCGACAGCTAAGTTATTTCATTTGCTTTCAGTGTCCCAGAGATTAGATTGCAGGGGAGGGCACGGTGTAATAATGTCATCCTGCAAGAGGCAGTCGATGGTGAGCACAATATTTAGGATCTCCCAAGAGATGAGGAGTGATTGTGAGTGTGATCGCAGGACTAAGTAAATGTAGAAGGACAAGCAGATGGTGATGGTGTGGGTGAAGGGAAAGCAGGGGCTATATGGAAGATATGTAGGCAGAGACAAGATGGTTTCTTTCATACTCCTCCAAAAGTTTCGATTTTGAAAACCGATTCTTGGGACACAAGCCTGGGAGGGTTCATTCCACTTCCTGTTGGTTTCCAAAGCACAAAAGCTGATTCAGACTCTCCAGAATGTGTTTTCTTGCGAACAGAAATCTCACAGTAAGATTTGACGTCAAACCCTTTTCTGATCCCAATGAGGGGAAAGGAAAGAAAGACAGAAATACATTTAGACTGGCTCTGCTCCAGGCCTAAAATACAGCGATTATTCTTTGAAACATGGGGAACTTCTTTTTTTTGTAAACTTGTTTCACCTAGCTCGTATTTATTTCGAAGACTCTAGGGACCTCCAAAAAAGGTCCAGCCCCTGGTCCTTCCCTCTGCGGTGGCGGTGCCCCTGGGTGCTGTCTCTGAGCTGGGGCAGCACCCAGCCCGCTAGCAGCCCGCCTGGGTGGCCCCAGGGGGCACTGCCACTGCAGGGGGAAGGATCAGGGCTCCCCACAGCTCAGCGGTTGCAGCCCCTAGCTGCGGGAGAGGTGGGCAGACTCCACTGAAAAAAAAAAGGGTCAAGCCCCTCACTGCTTCTGTCTTTAGCAGGCGCTGGCTGAAGGCAGAAGCAGTGAGGGGCCTGACCTTTTTTTTTCTGCAGTGCCTGCTGCCCACCTCTTCCGTGGCCAGAGGGTGAGCTGCCAGCTGCAACGCTGGCATCCAGTGCTAATGCTAAACTGCAATGCTAAACCGCATCCAGATATAGTTTAGTTTGCAATACTGCAAACTCATTTAAAACCCACCCAAACTCTTGAACGTGGGCAATGTGACATCATTAAGCCACACAAAGTGACATGTTTATCGCATGTATGTGCTAATGGCATCACATGCACAAGTGCCCTAAACTTAGCCTTCATGCATGGCTAGGAGCACTCTGCCCTGGGTGGCTAGGAGCCTAACTCCTGCCACTGCCCTTAATGTTCCTGCATTCACCCATGTGTTTCTGGGATCATAACCCAAGGCTTTTTGTGCCAACAAACTCTAGGACCTTCCTCACAGTCATTCTCAAAGAGCTAACTCCTACCGATGCTGCATTGTGATCCAGAAGGGAGGTGGGATGGCACCTAAATGCTCTACAGGTGCCCAAGAAAATGCTCTGAACACACCTAGCGCACATTGACAGCGCTGAGTTCAGGATGCAGAGTAGCAGCCCTGGGTGTCTTCACTCCAAAACCCACGGTTACACAATAGCCCAGTTGTTCCAGCTTCACCATTCCAGCTATTTTGTTGTACCGCATAAAAGTGAACATGGCAAAGGTGACACCAAGCCCTCTGACAATCCTGAAAAAAAGCAGCACTTTCTGCAAAATCACCAATCTGGGACAGAAACCCATTCTGATGGGCAGTTTCAGCCAGCTGTACTCCTAGAGGTGCCCAGTGGAGAAACTTTGTCTGTGCCTTGTGCGATCCGACTTTCTTTGCTGGAATTTGGTCTTTCATCCAACGAGTTTCTGCAAGTTGCAGGTGCTGGAGTCCACATGAATCTGAGTCATAGGGTTTCACCAGCTCTGCATGAAGCAGATTGACATACCATAACCATCAGCTGCATCTCCACTTCAAAAGAAGTTACTCATTTAATTCAGATGTTTGGAGGGAAGCCTCTACCAATATCTCAGTGTAAATCCCACAGCAGGTTCTGATCTGTGCACCGCTGTGAAATGCAGAGTAGCTGCACTGAAGTCAGTGAAGCAAGTTCTCAATCCATTTGAGTGATTTTTAAGGGGGCAAGAGGAGCCCTGCAAACGGACTCCTTTATTTGAGTGCTCCAGTTCAGTCACAGAAACTGGCTGTTCACTGCATAAAATGCAGCTATTCTACACAGATCCAGCACATTGCAGTGCAATTTGTAGGCTGCCTTTAAACCCAGCATATCCACATCTGGCTTGATTGAGCTAATTCATCCTGAGTGACCGTGCTACTCAGCCTCAGCTGGAGCTAATTATCCTGCTCCTGGTGCTGTGTGCACCTGGTTATACTGCTTCTGATTTAAGAGGCAGCCTTTCCAGTGCTGGGAAGCAGATTTAAGAGCATTGTTATCAAGCAGTGATTTCATTACCACTGATGGCTGGGTTAATCTAGTTCAGAGGTATGTATTTCTGCCATGCTTAATATTTCTGTATTTACCCACGTGTTTCTGGGATCATAACTTTTTGTGCCAAGAAACTCTAGGACCTTCCTCACTGTAATTCTCAAAGAGCTCGTTTATCCCTCTCAGGGGAGTTGTGGCATGGTGGAGGACTATCACCACTCCAAAATCTTGCTTGTGCAAGGTCTGTGGGGTCCTGGACTTAGTCATGCAAGCAAGGATGCAGGAGCTGGAAGCGTAAGTAAGCCCACCTTTTGGGGTTGCTCTATGTAGAGCGGGGGGCTGGGGAGAGACTCCTATGGGCACTCAGGTTAACACTGCAGGCTCACCATCCAGTCTTGAGGAATCCCAGTGTCACAGAAACATGAGAAATAGCAGTAATTCCTCTTTCCAGCTCGCCGCTCTGTATGCCCCTCTGTCCAGGGGGTCAGTCTTGCCTTGGATGCACTGAGTGGTTCTGTAGCCACGTGGAGCTTTTGGGTTGGGATGACATGAGCCCCAGTGTTGAGGCCGGTGGCTGGGCCCAATTTACAATTTTAATGGAGCCAGCAGCACTCGGGGCCACACTGTGGGACTTTTGCTTACCTGTACAGTCTTGACTCATTTTACTCTTTACTGGGAGCATTGATGCAAACTGCTATAGAGCCATATTAACAGTTTGGTCCTCACTAACCATCCTAGATCTCTGGTATTTCAAAGGCATCTCTCTCTCGCCTGTTGATGTTACTGCTGTCTTCTCTGCCCTTGTGCCTCTGTAGGGCCGTATAGTAAATGGATGAGCTTTTGCACGAGTGCATGTTGCTCAGAACAGCATACAAATGGCGAAATGCTTTGTGTGTGTTTTGTTAAAAAGTTGCTGCTCCACTATTGTACGCTGTGAGTATAATGATAGGTCTGGCAGGGGGCCCGGGTTTATATCCTGCCTAAAATGTCTTGGAGTCCTGTGGGGAGTAATATGTAAATGAGAACTAGAGTTTAGAGATGGTCCCTTGTCACAGTGGGTGTGGGGGTTGAAAGATGAGCCCTAGGAATTTGGAGAAGCTGAAGTTTCCTTTTTTTGTAGTAGTAGTTCTCTGAGTGTTGAGAAAAGGCTTAGTTTGGTTCTTATCCAACCACTTACATTGTTGCTCAAACCATAAAGATCATTATTATATCTTTGTGTTGTCTTGGGAGGCTTAGTGGCAGCCTAGGGCACATTCAAATCCCAGCTCTGCTTTGGGTTTCCTCCATGACTTAGGACTAAATCAATGTGTCCCAATTTTCAAAAGTGATCTAAGCATATAGAGGCCAGATTCCTAAAGGTCTTTAGAGGTCTATTCTCAATGGGTTGGTTTCTTGGGCATCTATATGTATAATGAAAATGGGACTTTGGCTCCTTGGTCACTCACGCACTCTGGAAAATGGATCCTCAGCCTCTGTGGACCTCCATTTCTCATCTGTGAAATGGGAATAACAAAGCTTCCCTTACAAGGGTCTTCTGTAGATAAATACATACAAGTCCATACAGCATCCAAGCCCAGATCCTCAGATGTATTTATGTACAAGTACCTAACTGAGGATTTGGGCCTTGGATACACAGCAGTACTAGAGGCCAAATAAATAAATGCCTTGGAGAGACTGCCACACTCTGCACTGCAACTCAAAAGCCCAAAACCCAATAAAATGGCTGTTTTCTTATCCAAATGTGTGCAAAATTAAAATCTCCATGTTCAGTGTTTGTTTGTGTGTCTAATACACCATGGTACAAATGTGAATGCGCTTTTACCCTAAATTAAATTTGAAGAAGGGGGCGGGGGGAACCCAACAACCCTCCCTCTCCCCAAAACCCTGAATCCCAACTCAAATGCAACCAATTTCAAGTGAAATGTTATGTCATCTCCTCCCCAAAATAGAGCATCCCTCCCCTCAAATGTCAAGAGGTATGGGTGGTTAGAGCAAGACTTTGGAAATTATTTTATCTCCAAACACCAAGTACTTCTGATACTGTTGTTACACAATTTTTCTCTCCCCTTTCATCTTTAGAGAGAGATGACTGGATGCTTCATTTATTGATATGAGTTATTAATGACCTTTTAACTCAGATGGGGAGCAAAATTGAATCATGAGTGGGTTAGGAAAGTTTAGCAGTGATTTCTGGAAACAGATACCGTGTCCACAATAGCCTGCTGTGTGACTTGTCATGTAGTAGCTTAAAAGTACAGCCCCATATGTGAAGGTCAGTGCCGTTGCTGAAAACTTCTTTTTCAAGTGTATTTCAATTGTTATTAAATAAACACTAGGGGAAATACCAAACCAGACAAACTATCAATATTACTAATCTGAGATGGCAACCACTTCCTAATATGCAGCACCTGCTAGTTGTGGACACACTAAGCTGGCATTAAGTGCAAACCAGGTTCTTCTATCTCAACACCACATTGGACCATCTTGTTACACGTGCTTGTGTTTGTTGATGGTACTTTGCAAGATCTTTCGTTGTACATGTGCCTTCAAGCAGCGGCCGTTGCAGCAGATGATGTTGCCGGCAGAACCACGCGCCGCGGAGCAGCGGTGCCAGTGCAGGCCATGAGT